ACTATCTCGCGAACGCGCCGGCGGATCTCCACCAAATTCGGGGGATCCCTTCAGCTCGAGGAGCCCTCTCGAACGCCACCCTCCGCGCGTCAGTAGCCCCCCGGGATTGCTTGATCGGTCGGCACCGGACCGCGAATTTATCCACCCGCAACTCCCGAACCCGGGGGCTATCGACGCGGGGGTGGTCTCATTCGAAAGCGGGCCTTTAGACGTACACTCTATTCGCGTTCGAGAGGGTTCCTCGAGCTGAAGGGATCCCCCGAATTTGGTGCAGATTCGCCACGCCGTTACGGAGATATGGCCGTTCAAAGTTTCAATGGTTTTCCATAGACTTAAGCTTTAAAGCGTTTCATCCAGGTCGCCAGTAGCAAACAATGGAGCGCGCTCAGCTGGACAAACTAAGTAATTACACCATTTCATGCATTTTATCTGTGTTATATGTTCTGTAAAAAAAATGTCATATCGGCGGCATATTCGCAGATACCGATATATCGGCGACGAGCTCATATCGGCCGATAATATTATACCATTCATTATTAATGATATATATATATATAATGTTCAGGACAAACAAGGGACCCATGAACAACTATCACAAAAAAATAAATATATAAATAAAAATCAAAACAAATAAAAAAACAGCTGTGGATCATCCAGGTAACAACACAGAATTAAGAATCATATTTATACATACATATATATATGTGTGCGTGTGTGTATATTTCATCAGTATGTTTTCTCTTTGATGGTTAATTTAAATGCAGGAAGAAATGTTAATTATCCCCACAAACAAATGTAGCAAGAGGCGCCACCTATCTTAAAATAGCCTGAGCCCCCACTTTGTAGGAAATAGCTCACATTTGATATCTGGTATTATACATGATAATTTATGTGAGCTATTTGCATACTACAATAAATTTATGAGTGGAGAGAGAGTGATCAAGGCTGCTCTGTTACATCGTTGCCTAAAGCAGCATGTTAGAACAACACTATTAAGGCTCGAACCATTATTTCAACTCGGCTTATTAACTTCCTCCCACAATCCGCATATTAACCATCAAAAATAAGATTACAGCCACTAAAAGTTCTGAATCAAAAATGGTCAAGTCCCCTGATTCCTCACTAGGCAATAGTGGGCAAATTCTTGGCCTTCTAGTTTCAGTCCTTGCCTCTAACAAATCTGGTTTAACATGTCTACAGTCCCACTCGTAGTATTTAGAGGCGGTGCCTGCTCCGTCTCAACACTAGGCCCTTCATCAGGTCTATGAGTAACACTGTGTGTACTATGAAGACCTTCTTTTGTTCAAGCGTTCTGTAGGATGATTGTGTGATGTTTTTTTCTGGTTGTACAAGGAACATTGTACAGTTAGGAGATGGACTGTGATGCAGAATGGTAGTGGGTCAGTCAGTTTACTTAAAGGGGACATATGCCTCACAAATCCAAAGTATACTAAAAATGGAAATTTAAAGGGATAGTTACCCAAAAATGAAAATTACCCTAAGATTTTCTCACCCTCAAGCCTTCCTAGGTGTATATGACTTACTTCTTTCAGATGAATATGTAAGCTCCGGGGAGAAGAAAGTCATATTCACCTAGGATGGCTTGAGGATGAGTAAATCATGGGGTAATTTTCATTTTTGGGTGAACCTATGGCTTTAAGTAGATTTTCAAATTGTGCATCCTTGAATGCTTTTTTTTCTGATAATATTGCCCACAACCTCAAAACAAAATAGTGGTTCTCCCCTTTGGACTTGTTCAGTAATGAATTCCAAGGTAATGGATGTAAATTATAACGCTAACATGCACACACAAACAGTACGTGACAAGGGGCTCTGTGGTATCAACATGATGTGTAGGATGATGCGTAGGATGTCTCAACACTGGTACACTGTATTAATGCATGCACAAAATTATGTAAATTCAGATGTTGTCTAAACTGTCATTCAGACATGTATTCGTATTGATGTTAGAAACATAAATATACAATACTAAAAATACTAGATTACTAACTTAGCATACCATGATAAATAGCATCGACTGACTTCCTCAAACCAGCGTAGATTAATTCAAAACAGAGGTCATTACATACAGAGGTCTTAAAGGTACAGTAGCCAAAACAGCTTGTTTAAAAGAACACAGAGAGGGTGGAAAATGTTAATGTCACTGTTTTTGGTGCAAACATACTTGACAAACATTATGGATAAAAAAGAACATGAAATGTGATTAATGAATGCGTTTAAAATCTACTACATTGGCCAGGATGTTAACAGTCAGAAAAATGTTATGTAACAAAACAAAGGGTGAGAATGATGTAGGATTTAGCTTTACGTCTCTATGTAGTCACTTCCCATAGTGAGCACTGTCAATAGTAATCATGGAGACAGGACAACCACAGCAACAATCCAGAAACAAATATACGGTGAGTAGCTGCCAGTAATTATATCAAAACTGATGCCAAAAAAGTGATCTGTGCACACAGATCTTTTTCATAATCACACTGGCTTTCAGCCAAAAAAAACAAAGAAAAAAAACACAACAAACAAAACAAAACAAAAACACTTTATACTTGAATTAAAAAAAATTATTTCATTAAAAAATACATTTTAAATAAATATACACAGGAAATCTACAAGAAATCCATCTCTTCCCCATATCGTCTTTGCTCTGATATTGTGCTTTTCAAGAACTCACATACTACAGTAGCTTTTCTATAAATATACATTTACACTATTCATCTCTAATAAGACAGACAAGAGCTCCAGTGACCCGTGATGAGGGCAGCTCTCTCTCTCTCTCACACACACACAAACACACACTCTTTCTCTCCTGGTTCTATTTTCATTTGTCAATAACCGCCGCACACAGTCTCAAGATGATAATTTATATGGGTGAGACACAGAGGTGAGGTGTTATAAGCAGCTGTTAGATGGGGTCTCGTCTACACCATAAAACCCTTCTCTCACATGCTTGAGTGAAAACATATTAAAGCAATAAATCACATCATAAAAGTGTCATTTTTAATTAAATGGGGGACAGTCACACCATTGTGCAATAGAACAAGACCTGAGAGTACAACCTTCCGCTAAATCTTTTTAACTCCCCGAGCAGAAGTTAACGGCACACAGTTTTAGAGGGTTTTTGTTGTGTTGTGTATGATTTCAGGTATTTCACATAGGGCTGAATTTGAAATCAGGACATCTGTTTAAACGTTTACCATACTCCATTTAATCTTTATAGAGTCCTGAAATTTCCTGAACTTCACAGTGATGCTCACAGAAACAAGCTGTCAAGAAATACACATCCATAAGAGCTCTAAAGGTACATTCACACCTACAGTAATTTAATCGCTGAAGGTCGCCAAGTTGCTGTATGTGCTTTAAAGTTGTTCTCTAGTAGGAGTTTATACTGGTCCAACTCTGTCAGGAGGCAGACCACGTGAAAGTCACTATGTGCTATCTTACTGGCCGTCTCCGTATTGCTATCCCTGCTGAACATTGTTGTAACGCCAACCAATGTCACTCATGTCGCTTAAAATTGTAGACTCTCATTGAAAACTGATTATTGTTAGAGTGAATGCACCTTAAATGACATAAAAATTCACCCTATTTGCTTTAACTTGCATTCTTATTAAAGAATGAATGTCTCATTATCTTTTTTAAAAGTGTATAAACTTTCGAAAAAACTTCACCAATGCCACACAGGTTATTGCTATATGCTAAATTGTAGCCAAATAATCACGTGGGTGCTGTTTTGCCTACAGATGTAGGTATTGCAGTGTTTCTAAAATCTTGCCATTATAATTTAAATTAAAGCCATGTTGATGTTATTATAAAGGTTATGGCAATATTAGCCTTAACTACTATTGAAATACAACAATCAAATAAAATCCTGCCTAACTAGCATACAGTACCATTCAAACGTTTGGGGTTTGTAATATTTTTGGGGAAACTGAGATACTTTTTTTTTCAGGATTCTTTGATGAATAGAAAATTGAAAATAACTTTTTTGTAACATTAGACATGTCTCCACTGTCACTTTTGATCAATTGAATGCATCCTTACTGAATAGTATTAATTTCTTAATAAATAAATATAATCTTACTGAACCCAAACTTTTGAATGGTAGTTTGAAAGTCTTAAGGACACAGTAGCAAAAACAGCCTATTTTCACAAAAAAATTGAGTTTTCAGTGCCAAAAAAAACACATTTGAGAAGAATTTCCATAAATTGATCATAAAAGTTACTGCTGCCACAGTACAGTTATTATGAATCCAAGCATTCAATGTTGGCTATAAGGCCAGAAAAAGGACAAAGTATTTTGTATAATGAAGTGTTTGCATGATCACTTCAGCAGCTAATCTATGCCAGTTTTACTGGCAGTCTGACTTAATGACTCCAGGTAATAAACCAGTTACGTAATATGAACCTCTCAAAAAAGATCCTTATGCCCTTTCTGCAAACACACACAAACATATCTTGCATTCTTTATCGGTTTTCCACCCGTTTTTCAATTTCCCTTCATCCTTTGCTTGCCCTCTCATCTACCCTGAGCAGTGGAGCATGGCATCACTCTATTACCGACTGATCGTCTCCTGGAGTTTCAAAAGGTCTGTTTTGTAGCACTGCATCCCTAATGCTCTCGATGTACTTACTGCAGGGAACCGGGCAAGTCTATGTCTCTATCACAAGTTCATCTTATCAGTCTTCAACAGAATAGAAGTTGCTGCTTTTTAGTTTTTTAGAAGAAAACAGCAATCAGCCAAGAGAAAGAAAAAGTGACTCATTTTTAATAATTGGTGCAAACTACATATTACTGTGACCTGACTGTCACACCCAGTATGAAGTGTTCACAGTTCAAAAAGCGTTGTTTCAAAGTCTATTTTGTCTAGTTCAGTAATCAAAAGTCCAGTAGGTTAAAGGGATGTTCTGAACTCAGTTCATCAGATTGTAAAAACATATCACAAACCATTCAGGAGTTTGCCTTTACTGTTCTAGGAGTTTGCTATACATAAATCATACTTTGCGGATAGTTATGAAAAAACAGCAGCTGTGGTTGCCAGAAATTCACCTAGACAGACAGACAGACAGACAGACACAGACAGATAGATAGATAGATGATAGATAGATAGATAGATAGATAGATAGATAGAAGAAATATGGCAACACTGAGTATGTTTACATACACATAAGTAATCTGATTATTTACCTTATTCTGAATAAGACAATATTATGATTAAGAATATTAATATTCTAAAAGCATGAGTTGCTTTTAGAATATTCCTTTCATGTTCCCGTTTTACATGTTATAGTACGTAGATCGATAGGAATACTCCACATATCTTAATTCAATTTGTGTTTACTTCGAGTATGACTTTAGCCGGATTAAGGTAATCGAAAATCTGTTTACACGATAGATTCTTAATCAGAGTATTGTCTTAATCGTGTTAATATCGGATTATTGTTGTCCATGTAAACATACTCAATTATATGGGATGGCATATTGCTGCCTGCACAACTACCAACTGAATCATACAAAATACAGTATACAGTCAAAATACAGTCATGTGTCATGCAGAGACTTCTGGGAATGTCCTTTCACAGTTTTTCCCCATTATAAGGTAATTCATGGTTTTTACTTGCAAAAACCATAGATATGGCATTATTTTAGGGGAAAATGACATATAATGCAATGGTTTTACACCATATATGGTAACTTAGTTAACCAATTAACAAGTTTTTATTGTAGGTTTTCATTTTTTGTTCTGTAAATACTACAAACATTTTTTTACAGTGTATGTCATGTTATTTATTTTATTTCTTTTTAGTATCCTTGCACAAAAAATGTGATTTATGGCTTTATGTTCATGACATAAATTGATAAACTGACAGTAAATCCATATAGACATGTTTGGTAAGTAGAATGCATCGATATTAAAATTCTGGCCAATGCCAATAAGCAGATATTAAAAATAAAATTCTATACTATTGTGTTTAAATCAAAAAAAAAATGTAAACCCTAAAAACACAAACACGCACAAAACACTAAAATTGCACCACATTATAATGTACAGTATGATATTTTCTACAGATTATCGCTTAACATTTAACAGTGTTATTAAATTACCAGTGTTTTTAAACAATAGTTCTACATGAGCATTAGATGATTTGGTTTTTTAATGATGGGATTAATTTTTTTCGGAGGTGGTAAACGTACGTTGAACTCTTCCTCTACGCACTACACCTGCTCTGTGTGTTTAGTACACGTGGAGTTAAAACTCCTTGTCTGATAATTATGCAGTTATGCAAACATCTGGACAGGAGGCCGACGGTTAACTTGTCATCATGACCTTTTCAACGAGCCGAAGTTTACAAAACATGCTGGCAGGACTTCTGACTGGAAGTTCTGATGTATGTGCCAAGGTCAGGTGACCTAGCACAGATGACCTACACTTATCTAAATGTCTGGAATTTGATGATATATAATGACATTGCATTATTCCTTGTGTTAGTATGCACTCGTATTGTGTTAGTATGCACTTGTGTAGGTTGTTGGTGTTAATAGCAATCACTATCGAGCACTGGTTATTTTTGGTGCCACCCTGAGCAGCAGCGAACATCCATTCATCTGACCCCAGATCAGAGGGAGCCGTCACTCAGCACATGACTTATGGAAGTAATGATAAAAACAGACGCTCCCTCGTTCCCCGGGGCTGTTTACTGATAAGAAGGAAATGGATGGCTGAGAGTGGTGTGGATTATTATTCAACAAGCCAATCTTAGGGCTAGATGAATAACTCGGGCATATGGTGAACTGGATGGCAGTAGCTTGTTGAGAACTCTGGAACATGTTCCAACGTCATAACACATTTTTGATTTGCCATAAGGTTGTTCTTGTTACTGGAAGCAGGGCGGATTGATGGTGCAGAGGATTGTGAGGTCGGTACTCACTTGTGCATGTGTTCTACACTTGTGAAGATCATAACGCCATAAGCAAGACCGCTCTGTACCAGAAAGTGTAAGGCATACCTGAAATGAAGCACAAGGAGAAGAGGATACCAATGAGAGGAGTACACAACTTTATTAGACTGTGAAACAAGACTGTCATTTTGAACAGGAGAGAAATGTGTTGCTGAATATGTTAAGATAGACAATTCCATGTATTTTATATACAAAAATGTATTAAATTTTTTTAAACTTGTTTTTATTTAATACTTTCTGTCCATGAAAATTATCTATGACTCTATGTGTATAAAAAAATCCTCATTGATCCTCAATGAATGATCTTGATATTTTAATCATGACCAGGGTTATTAATTGAAACTAAAACTAATAGCAAATAATAAATACAAATTAATTAAAAACTATATAGACATAAAAAAAAATTGACAAGAACACACAATAAAATTAAATTGAATATATTAATAAAAACTATAATAGTATCTCAATTACTGGTCATTTACTCAATTACAATATACTGGTCATGATTATAGATTTTTTTTTTTTTACTGGTTATATTATATCATATCATATTATATTATATTATATTATAAATAAAAAATGTTATTCAATAAAAATATATTTGACTTTGCAGAGAGATATACAGATGATTATTTAATTAGGGGCACTTTTAACAACTTCTAATCTTAAAAAAATTAATTAATTAATTAATTTGAACAATATTTCTATATTAAATATTTAGCATTTCCATGAATAAAAATCTGACTGTGCTTTTGATAAAACCTCAAGTGGATATGTGTATAAATTTATGTTATATAATAGTGCTGGGCGGTATGACCAAAAAGCATGTGATATTAACAGATGAACTACGCTCATATTTATAATTCCAAACAATCAGTAAGCGACAGGTGCTAGGAAACGCTGTTTTGTACTCATTTATTGACGAGTCGGCTGCAGTGTGGCCAACTGAATGTGCTGTTTCTCTGCCGCTTCACTGCACAGAACAGACGCCGAGAGAGGTGATACTTCTCCGGGAAAGTCAGACCTTGCGTTCGTAGGACAGCACTGGCGAAATCAAGAAACGAAGCACTGTCAGTATGAATATTCTATGGAAAAAAGCCGCTAAAAGGGTCTGAAAGTTGCTAAATCTAGTGCTAAAGTCGCGCTTGTGTGTGTGAGATGCGGGAGCTGATGGCAGGGGGCGGTGGATATTTGTGGCGGTCAATGTGGATATTGTGGATGAGTTCTTCTGTCATCACGTTCTATTAGTTCTACAGCTTCAGTTTCGGAACTTTCATGCTTAGTAACACATACAGCTGTTCCCTCACCACAGTGCAACAGTGAAAAGGGACCCCTTTCAAACAGTGTCGCATTCCGAACGTTGTTTAAGCAACATACATATTGCGGTATTTTAAAAATTCATATCATAACAAAAATGAACCGGTATACCGCCCAGCACTATTATATAACTACATATTTAATACTTTAAAGACATAAAATACATGGTTCACTGATCATCCATCCAAGAATGTTTCCCTGCCTAAGCCTGAGACACTGGGATAGACACTGGGAAGCCGTTTGGAAAATGGATGGATGGAAAATACATATGCTGAAGTTGCTGAAGAAAGATGTGGGGGGACTAGATTTCATCCATCTGAAATTGTTTGGATTGTGAAAGAGCTATCTTAACCATTTGTCTGCACTGCCTATGTGACGCCAAAAAGGAAATTTGTTGAGGGGTGGAGCAAGCTATTGCATTTTGATGAGAGATTATGAAGCTTTTTTTTCTGTCCAAAAAATGCGCTGATGAATCCCACACAGTAAAACCAGGAACACACATTTTGAAAGTTAAATGAGCCCAATTTGGATTTGATGTTGACCGAGAGCAAACAAATGTCTTGGTGAAGTCTCTGCTGGACAGAGAGGGGTGCACAAACTCTGAATATGCAATGATAGCACATCACATTAGAACAGCTGAGGGGAAATCCCCTCACAAGCTGCCACACAACATTTGCTTGATACACGACATTCATAAAATTCATTTGGTAGTAACAGATGATACTTCACTCACAATTTGGTTGTATCACCATAAATGCATTCAAAAGGGCATATTCCACGACATTAGAATCTGCTATATCTTGGGCAACTTCACTGTTTAGAGGTCTTGCTTCTTGCCGTCATGTTTATTGTATAATGACTTCCTGTGCGATTTGGGTGGACTGACCTCTGCTCAGAGAGCTGCAATAGACTGCTCCGTATGTTTAGAGGTTTTTTTAATAAGTATCAGTTTAAGCATGACTCCCACTGTTGCAATTTCTCACATTTTAACAACCTTGTGATAAAAAAAAAAAAACAATGTGTGATGTGGTTATTATGTAATTCGGTCGGCCTTTATTTTAGTTAAAGAAATGTTGAAACACATACGGAGTGTCAAAAAGCTGAAACTACTGGTGAAAGTGCTTTTACTTAGCATTTTTTAAGTTATTACACAAATGTGTCATTGCTAATTATTTTATCAGTACAAAAATATGTGAAAATATATTTGTTTCAGTAGTATTTTGTTTCTCTTTTGCTTTAAGGCAAGACACCACAGGTGAATACGGTATAATGTTAACTAATAGATATCATTATACTTCTCCAGTTGTTCAATCGCAGTACAATAAGACAACTGTTTTGTATTACTGTTTTCTGAAATGTTATGTTAAAATATGCAAATAAGACATTATCTAATTAAATGTGCTCTAATTTGCAGACATTTCCAGAACAGAAATCTAAACATTGGATAAAGCCAGGTTCAAAATTCGTGTTTAATTTTATTGACATACATAGTTAAATGTTTTTACAGAGGGGATTTTGAATATCTCATTTTTTTTATCATTCCATTAATAAAGGAAAAAACTACTTTCACCATGTTTTCACTATGGTCCTTTTGATCCCACCTTGTGTTCCTCATACTGTAGGCAGAATCAAATATTTGAAAGGCTTTGGAAAACATCAAACTATTAAAGATCACATCGAAAATCCGAAACAGCACCAATGCATTTATCTGATAACAGGTTATCTATTAACTAGCGACTTTCACGCATCTTAATGCAGCTTTTTTGTTACACACTAATTCAAGTTCAACCAACAAGCAGCAAGTAAGTATTGATAAAGAGGCTTACAAACTGCTCCATCAGAGCATCTCTGTTTCCACCAGTGGACAGCGTAGCTGCTGAGGAGACTGGTCTTCTGCCAGCACTCCAAAGCCTCATAATAAATTGAATGGCTCGCTAACCGGCTATCAATAAATAACCCTGCTATGGATCAATATGGAAGATCTGAGATATATGAGGGATGAAGCAGACAAACACTCACCAGCCAAAGCAGAAGAGGGCCAAGTAGAAGCCCAGGAGGGTGGCGACTACATGCCGGATGAAGGGACTCGTCTTGCTAGGGTGCAGGTAGAGTCTGAACCAGAAGGCCGTGACCAGGGCGAAGAGCTGGCATACCACAAAGTTCACCTAATGGGAGAGATATAAGGTTAATTTTACACTGATCAAGAGGAAAGGTCAGAAAGCAATCATTTTTTAGTTAAACTCAACTTAGAAACAAATAAATAAGAAAGGTTAAAAATCAAAACTAATCTCCAATGTAATCTTCAAATGGAAGTCTTCCAGCACATTGAATGTTAACTGCTGACACTAACACAAGACAAATGCATTTGCGAAGAGGATAATGTCAGAGGACAAGAAGAGAAAATTGACTGCCATTCAAAAGTGGCTGTGTATTCTGAAATTCATTTATACACTATATAACAAAAAAGCACTTTCACAATCCCTTGTGTACTTCTCCTCTTTTGCAAGACACCATTTCCATTGAAATCAATGGCTTCAAAGCCAAAAACTTGTAAACGTTTGGAATTTATGACACGAAACTTAGGGAGGGCATCATGATGGACGACCAGATTTTTAAACGCCCAACCGCCTTGCAAAACAAATTCAAAGTGATAAGAAGAGAGGCTTGTGCTCACAAACCCATGAAAAGTGTTTCATTTTACTTGACGTCAATGTTTACTGTACAAAGTCATGTCTGGACCTGAACGTTACAGTCTCCTGTGCTTTTGGAGGCTAATCAGATAAAGTATGTACAGTAGGCTGCTCATAGTCTCTCGCCTTTCCTTTCATTTCTAGGACATTTTACTTCCGTAAGATTTTACATGTCACTGTAAGAGCAAAATAACTGTTTTTAAAGGGATAAATCACAAAAAAAAGAAAGAAAACTGTGATTCTAAACCTGTGTGGTTTTCCTTGTTTCTTAGGTATTTGTCATCACTGTCTTTTAAGTTCCACAGAAGAAAGATAGTCATCCAGGGTTTTTGTTTATTTGTTTGTTTTATCAAAAAAAAAAAAAAATCTTTTATTTTGGTGAATTATAACTCAAGGAGATTTTGGCTCATTTATCACACTCGACATGTGAGGTGAATTCAAGTGCACTGCATTGTGGGATACACTACTGCACATTTTCTGAATGTAGAAGGTCATACATGTATTGCATGCACACAGAAAATATGCAGAGTGTGCAAAACGTATATACTGCAAAAATAGTATGAGTAATATGGTATTATGCTATTTGGAATAACACCCTCAGCTGGGAAGGAACACAGACACATTACATTTCTCCCTGCTGCTCAGTGGCCTTCTGTCTGACTCTTTTGAGTGTGTGTGTGTGTGTGTGTGTGTGTGAGAGATAAAGCGAGAGTGAGGTCATCTTCATGTGCCTGCTGCCATGCAAATGAGCTCCAGCTCAACAAAGAAACAATCAGTCACTAGCTTAAAATAACTCTGACTTCCTGACTCTGCGCTTCTTTATTTATCTTTCACTCTCTATTAATCTTATTCTAGTTTAGTTTACTCATTAGATTTTATATGACAGGGACAAAGCATGTCCGTTACAATAAGTGCAGCCCATCTTGTCTCAACTCTACTTGAAATAAGGATGGACTTGAGCCCTCAAGCACTTTGAAAACAGAGTGACTTGATTTTTCTTTCTTTATTTTACTTTTAGATATTTTTACACTGGTAATTGATTATGCCGCTTATTTTGTTGGCAATACCTTGTAGCAAGATTCACGCAAGGATGTCTACAATTGCTGAAGAAAGCTACATTTTAGCATTTATCTCATTCTATGTTGAATTTTGTTTTTAAAAAAGACACCACAGAGTGTGATGTCATATTACAATAAGTCTAGTGTAACTGCAGCTTAATAATGTAATGAGATCACAAATGTGTGTTCATAGAGTATTTTACAATAGCTTTGTACATGGCTTAGCCAATCAGAACCAAGGACAGGAATTATCCATTTTATAATACATATAACATTATATCACTGAAGCTAAAAATGGTCTAATTAAACATTTAATTCCCTTTTTGTGTACAGTTAGCCTTTTCTTAGCAAGCTAACAGTTTAACCTTCTAAATTACATATTTTATACCACCTAAACTAAAAATAATAAAATATTGTATGTTTTCAGTAAGCCTTCGTTTAGCAAGGTAACATTTTAGCCTAGCTTAGCCTTTTAAATGGCTTAGCCTACTAACTTGGCACAGTGGTTAAAAAAAGCTCTTTTGATTAGCTAGACAAGACATGACGATAAAACGATACATTTTTCAGACATTGAAAACGGCGGATAGTAGTCATGGATGACAACTGAAGTCATTCTTTCACATCTTGTCCCAAATTCCTAGTACAGAAAAAGTGACTAGAATGCCCATCTCTATTCTAAAATGTCAGAAAATGTGCTAGAAAGATGACAATAGCTTTCCGTTTAGCATAAAACCTTGGGGACTGTTATTGAAGCTTCAATCTGAAGGCTTTTGGTTTGTTTTCGCTGATCTATTTCTGTTATTCCCTGGAGACACCTCTCATCTCCTCTGTCCCCTTCAGGTGGTTGTCACTTTCATTTTGGATCTCACGGTCTGAGATGTTTCAACTGCTGGAAACATGTCCTGCCTCAACGAGAAACCTTGCGCATCTCCTTAACGTTACAGGTGGCTATACTGTACAGAGGCAGCCATTGTTTCCCATTCTGCACAAACAGGTCAACAGTGGGCCATACAATAGCTCATTGGCTGCTTCTTTGTATCCCCCATGCATTCTGTATCACAGGAAGTATTGTTTTTGGCAGGATAAATCTGTACACACACACACACACACACGCACAACTGTAAGTAATTGTGGTCAAGCAGATTTATAGAGATGTGTGCCATTTTTCAAAACATTTATAGAGATGTGACTGTGCCATTTTATATCACTAAGCGCTCTCTCACGAGTGACCTATATCGAGCAGCGCTTGTGTTCGCTTTAGAGCCATTAAAAAGAACCACAGAATTACACTCAATTAATCTGGGACATTAAACCCTAATTAAACATAACCTATCCTTGCTTTAAGATTCACACGGTTTGGAAACAGAGCAACACTTGCAAGACAATCTTTCTCAAGTTTTACCAATCAGGTCGGGAAAACAAAAACGAGTCAAGGGGCGGTCACACTAGACTTTGAACGTGCGGAAAAAAAATTTGACGCCGCTGCGAATATGGGCGGGAGCAGGATATGACATCACGCGCCAAGGTTTCCCCTCAGTTATCACAACATGGATTCCGATGTGCTTGTACTGTGTCTTTTGCGACGGCGTCGATAGCGTCTGGAAAGGAGAAGGCTGTGGGTTCACCCTATTCTACGGACTGGGAATGAGCGAGGAGAGTTCCATTCTTTAATTCAGGAGCTTCGGCTGGATGAGGATCGCCACAAGGAGTCATATTTTATTACCATTTTTTTTAAACTATAGTGAATAAAGTGTATTAATGAATGAAATGTTCAAGGTGTCTGAATAAATTTTGGTTTGACTGTACATATATATTAATTTTTTAAGTGCTGTGCTTTAAGTGCTGTAGGTTTTTCCCTTTAAATAGGTCATTTTATAAGTTCTTGAGGTGTGCAAAATTAATGTTAAAATTATTCTGAAAATATAAATATAAAATAACGAACAACATTAAGTAATTTAATAATAATACACTTGTCTATAGTAATTATATTGTACTCTCTCTCTATATATATATCGTCTGTTCCTGTTGCCATTGAAGATGTATTATATAAAATAGGACGCTGCACTACGGCTAAAATTAGTGCTTCCTCCATTTTTGAATTTCTGTACAGAGGTCACGCAGTGACGTATCGATCTTCTACTGGT